TTTCACAGCTAAGAAGAGTTGGTTTTCAAACTACATCTGTATCTTAAAAGATATAAAAAGTTGTAAAAGAAATAAATAACTGCAACTATTCCTTGAGCAAATGTTTTCTTAAGGACTAAAGCCAAGTTTAATAACTCATCTCCCCAAAAAGTGTAGCAATATCAACATTTTGTTTCATTTTAATTTATTTGACAAGGTGTTTCAGAATTTATACAAAAAAATATCTATGTGGAAAATATCTTCATGAATACAGGATTCAACCAGAGTAAGAAACACCATGTGATTAAAGTATAGAACTGGGATTTGGGAAATCTAGACTCAGCTGCTTATCTGAAAACTCTGTAAATTTGGTCTGCTCATGTTAACATTTCTTACTCTAAAAACTGGAGGCTGGTAAGGCTCTTTCTTACTTCTCTTTGTCCTCCCTTTATCTCACTTATTCAGATTGCAAAACTGAAGTATAGAGACTAAATCTAGCCACATGTTTCTACAGCAATACTGTAATCAGTTGTAATCTTGGTCACTAAATAGTTTTGTTCTGCACAAAAATTAAGACACACTAGAAAATGAAGAATCTGTTATTTATTTTCATAATAAAAGAGACAGAATTCAAAAAAGCCACTCGACATCTCCTTGGAAAAAAAGACAAAACAAAAACACTTTAAAATGGTTAATTAATCATGCAATTATTTTTTAAAATTTCTTTACAAGATGGGAATGTTAAAAAGAAGATTAACTGTTTTTCAAGTACTTTCAGTTTTTCCAGTGACATTTTATATTCTTTTCTATAAGGAAAGGAATCTAGAACTAGAGCCGTTTAAAGCATTTTTCAGTTCACTCACTGAAGTACAAATGGGGAGAATAAAATTGATTTTAAACAAAATGTAGATTTTCTTTATTTTCTTTAGCAAATTAAAATAATAATTTTGGATAAAAATTTAAAATCTCTGCCAACTCAAAACAAAGTATTCTGATTTGTCTTTCCAGTTTTAATTCTTCTATTTTTAAATAAAACTGAAGTAAAATACAAGTTATACCTCTTTTTAAAAAACAAATGGGTATGTTTCACTTGTTATAATGTCAAAATGAAATATTTAATAATTTTCAATATATTGCCCAAAAGCGAGTACCAAAAGTCTCTGAATGGGTTCATCTTTGCAGTCTACCAGAATCCAGTTTTCATTAAAAAACCCCAGAAAATGCATCCTCCGTGCAGAAAGGAGAGGGGAATTTTTAAAACTCTGAACCAAATACCTAATTTAAGCACATTAAAGCATAGAGCAGTTTTCAAGGTGTAGGACACAGTGGAACTCTAAAAGAAAAGCTAGCATCTACCCAAAATGTTCATGGATTCATAGCTACGGTATTACCCACCACTTCCAAAATCTTTCCAAAAGTTACATTTAAATCCAGATTTAAAATATGTAGGTGGCATTGTTAGCACTTCAGCACTTTATAACCACTGCTCCCATACACAAAACCCTCAGCAGCATCAGTTTTGTGCATACACTTTGTCCTAAACAAAAAACATTGCTTTTTATGCATATTTAGTTTGTAATGATGAGATACACAGGAATTATTAAACAATTCGCCGTGGCTTCACGTATAAGCTTTACATTTCCATATCACCTTCATTTATATTTTAATCATATTGTCCAATGTTTCATAGGGCTGCTGAGGGCTCCATTCTTCGCAACTGCTCTTAGATAGAATGTTAAAGGGGTTTTTGTTTGGTTTAGGGGAGATAAGTTTTAATAGTGTTTAATTTCCTTTTCCTTTTCAGAATATCATAGTACTTCCATGAAAATGGAGAACAAGAAACAAATCCTGCTGTTTCTGTTCAAATCAAATTCCTGGCAAAGTCATTTGAAGACTTCTGTCTGTGTGCCTTAAGCAGGGGTTTCAGCATTAACGTGTGCCAGCATACACTCATTATTTACTGTGACCCACATGTAGTCACCAGGTCTTTCAGAACACATTTTTAGTACTATTTGCTGTTCACATTACCAGAACAACAGAGATACCTGGCTTTTAGCTTCCAACCTTGCCAGTGGCTGAAGAAAAGAAGAGTTGACCTGATCGCAAAGGACTTACAGTCTAATAATAAACCAGGAGGCAAGTGAGAATAGGTAGCTGGCAAAGTGGCTAATGAGATGGCTTTGATCGGAATTACAGCCATATGAACAAGATAAACGTAGTCATATTTTATGATCCTAAGGACCAGTGCTAAGCCAAGGAGTGATTTGTTTTCTAGTAGGTGACATTCTCTCATCTCTTGTTAAATGAGATATATTAACACGGCAGAGCTCTTCCCTACTACTTGGGGTGTATTTACTCTGAAGAAACAATACTGAATTTCTCAGCTTTGATAATCACTAAAGAAAAAAGGTCCTAATATCCTTGTCCCCCCACACATAGATCTTGTGTCCGGGAGCCAAGTTTAGTCATCATACTTGCGTATTTGGTGCAAGTGCATCTCCATGAGTGTCACTGCCAAGAATTAACAACTTAAAGATTGGGAAGTCACTAATTGCATGGCAATAAACTTAGGTTATGAGTGAGTAAATTCAGATATAACACTGATATAAAGGTGATGTTCCTGAAAGAGTTGCTAACATATAACCTCTGTGCCTGGAAAAAAATACGTTCTTTTAATAGTTTTCTTCACTTAAGTTACTCATTTCAAAATGTCCTCGTCTAACTGTGTACACTCGGCTTTGCTGCAGTGCAAAGGAAATTTATTCCTTTGACACATTTATCCTTTTAATGGTTACTCATTTGAGAGTGTTTGGATGTGTGAATGCACATTTTAGTTCGATGCAAAAGAAATTCATTGTTTTGACAGTTTTATTCTTTTAACGTTTATTCGTTTAAATGGGGCTTCAGTCTGCAAAGCTGTTAACAAGAAAACTCTAGAAAGAGGCCGCTGTTGGTTAAATAAGTCCGTCATGTTACTTCAAAGGAGTACAGCATACTCTCTCATCAGTAACATGGCACCTACATAAAAACTTCATTTATCTTTATAACTTAACCAAAAATATCTTAGAAAAGCAAGAGAAAAATTTAAAGGTTTAAATATGCTCCATTAGAGATGGCATTATAATTTTTGCATATTAATTAACTGGCAGGTAATTCTTCATCAGTAACATGGCACCTACATAAAAACTTCATTTATCTTTATAACTTAACCAAAAATATCTTAGAAAAGCAGGAGAAAAATGGGTGCTAAATTTAAACCATATTTAAAGGTTTAAATATGCTCCATTAGACATGGCATTATAATTTTCGCATATTAATTAACTGGCAGATGATTCTTCATCTGCATCTTTTCACTGTAGAACATTCAACCCAGTGTTACACGCTGATTGTTTTTATTCTTTTTTTTTTTTTTTTTTTAATTTAACCAGAGGACAATTCCTCACCATTCAGTGTTGTATAATTCTGTTTCTGAAAGGAAAAGTTGAGTAACTTTTTGCCATGAAAGATTAGATCTTAATTTAAACTAGTTCATATCTTCCCAGTGTTTAGACAGTTATCTTTGGACGGGATGAACCATCCCAAAGCTCTGCATTCACTGCATTCCTCTACATCCAGGAAGGAAGGAAGGAAGGAAGGAAGAAAAGATTCAAAGGCTTCATGTTTGCTAGATGAATCCAGCTTTATCGGAGAGATGTTTCACACATTAGAACTCTCCCCTATCAATCTGCTAAGAACCACAGATAAAAGGGCTCTTACTTCATTTACAACAGTGTAATCAGAAGAAATTCATAAGCTTTGTGATTTTGCATCATTTATGAGAAAAAAAAGAATTGGGCTTATGTTCTTTAAAGGGGAGTTCAGAGTTCAAAACAACACTACACAGATGAATTCCGAAATTTTATGTGAACTTCCAGGATCTAGTAAAAACTGTACTTTCATTGAACTTAAGCTGTTAATGATCAACACGGGAAATAGAGAGGACTGTGTACATTTATTTAGATTTATTTTTCTTTATATACTTCAAAGGCATAGTGCTACTCAATAAATAAGCTATGCAATGCAATAAAACAGCATGCAATAAGGCCTTAATAGTTAATGACTTACGGTACATTTCTACCAATGACCTATGTACTGCTGTAAGGAAGAAAAGAGAAAGTTTATATCTTAGGACATATTTAATTAAATAAAGAATGCAAGCATTACATGCTCACAGCAAATGAACTCAAGATATTAGTCATTTTAGAGCTTCATTAGAGGCACTAAGTAAGAGAAAAGAAATTATACAATTCCAAGGGAACAATTAAGATTTCTGAAGTTTTACAAAATATGATAACCCAATTCACACTGATGATGATAGTTATCATTTCTTCCAAAGAATTTCATCTATTCCTTGTATGTGCTTTTAAAGACATAGTGTTGGTCTCAGTTTCTAAAGAATTGTGGGTAGGGCTGCTTCAAGCATTTTGCAAGAAATTATAAGGAATGTTTAAGGATGGTTACTTTAAAATTTCTGAAAATTTGCTTCCTGGTAAAGCATACAAGAATAGATTTATAAGAACTAAAACATTCTAAATCATTAATGACCTGGGAAATAGTAGAAACATATTATTTATGTCCTAAGATTTTACCTGAAGTCTGAAATATGTCAGGTTCCCTGGCATTTGATTTTGACTTGTCTATTCTAAAAATACAAATGTTAACAAGTTAATTTTTGTTTTATCTCTTAGATGATCTGTACACTGAAATTTTGACTAATCTGCAGAAGACATAGTGCTTAAGCAGCTTTTTATTCCAATGTTATTTTTCTTCTCAGCTTATATTTTGTCTGAGTTTACCAGCTTGACTGTGGAATTCTCTGAAATGAAACTTGGGCAAATTTTCTTTACCACAGAGTGCTCTGTTTGTTATTTCTCTTCTGATTTAACAGTCTCATGTCTTCTGCAGAAACTTATTACTATGGGGAAAACTTCAATAACTTGGACATTCTGTTTTGGTTCTTTTTTTTTCCTTTTTGCTCACAGTTCCAAAGACACCTCCAGCTAATGTAAGTGGCAGAAGTGGAAGGCGACATGAATTAGTAATAGCATGGGAGGTAAGGGACTTTTCTGATTAAAGGTTTTGTTTCATGTTTACTTCTTTGAGGGCAAAGTAAAGAGTACTGTACTGGGGTTTCCTTACAGCAAATCTTGGCAAGACATGAACACAAAATACTGTTCTTTAGATATGTTCTACAGTTTCAAAGTACTGTACATTTTCATATGGTTTGAGTAGAGAGCATTATGGTGAATCTAACCCACCTAGCAGCAGCTCCAAAGTTGTGCTAATTTGTCGGTCTTTTCTGCCTGATCTATTTCTTGGGTTGATTTGACTTCTCTGGGTCTTATGTAAATTCTACACCAGATAAAATAATAATTAAGGGAAGAGAAAGAAAGCTTTGTAACTTGTTTTAAACTTAAATTAAGAGAGAATTTCTTTTAAGTATTTCATAAAAATATAAAACTAAAGACCTGAAATAGATCTTTCATTTGAGAAGATATTTGTGATGCAAGATGCAACACAAATGTATGACCATGCCAGTGGGGAACTGGAGCAGTGGGAATCATAGAATCATAGAATAGTTTGGGTTGGAAGGGACCTTTAAAGGTCAGCTAGTCCAATGCCCTGGCAGTGAGCAGGGACATCTTCAACTAGACCAGGTTGCTCAGAGCCCCGTCCAACCTGGCCTGGAATGTGTCCAGGGATGGGACATCTACCACCTCTCCAGGCAACCTGTGCCCATGGTTCACCACCCTCACTGTCAAAAATTTCTTCCTTAGATCTAGTCTGAATCTTCCCTTTTTTAGTTTAAAACTGTTAGCCTTTGTCCTATTGCAACAGACCCTGCTAAAAAGTCGATCCCCATCTTTCTTAGAAGCCCCCTTTAAGTACTGGAAGGCTGCAGTAAGGTCTCCCCGGAGCCTTCTCTTCTCCAGGCTGAACAACCCCAACTCTCTCTCAGCCTGTCCTCACAGCAGAGCTGTTCCAGCCCTCTGAGCATTTTTGTGGCCTCCTCTGGACCTGCTCCAACAGGTCCATGTCTTTCCTGTGCTGAGGGCTCCAGAGCTGGACGCAGGACTCCAGCTGGGGTCTCACCAGAGCAGAGGGGCAGAATCATCTCCCTCGACCTGCTGGCCATGCTGATTTGGATGCAGCCCAGGATATGGTTGACCTTCTGGGCTGCGAGCGCATGTTGCTGGCTCATGTCCAGCTTTTCATCCACCAGTACCCCCAAGTCCTTCTCAGCAGGGCTACTCTCCATCCCTTCATCCCCCAGCCTGTATTGATACTGGAGGTTTGACCCAACCTTAGGAGGTTCACATGGGCACATTCCTCGAGTTTGTAAATAACACAATAAATAATACAATAGAACAGAAACTTTTCTTGAGGAGTTTTCAAAACTTCTAGAGTCACCATTAAGAGTTTCAGATTCAGAAAATGTACATACGAATATATATAGGTATATATACACACGTATATTTAAAAAATACACCAAGAAAAATTCTATCAAATAAAGACATGGGCTTTTAATGAAAAAATTTTTAGCCTATCCAACTTGAGGAGAAATTCAGAGACTGAGAGACACACAGAATTCTAACTGCTTAAAATGGCAAATTTTAGGACATCTGTAGAGACTGTCTTCTGTTGGCATGTCTATCTTTCCCAACACCAGCTACCTGAGACACCTGAGACAAACCTGATTTTTGTTTGCTTATAACTGTCAAACTATAAACAACAGCATCTTTCCTATTGGGAGATGGGCTTCCGAAGGATGGATAGAAGATGGTATCTGCAAGTGAGGTGCCCGGTAATGAAACATTCACTTGCAATGTGGAGGGGAGAGGATTTGGTGTCCCCTGTGCCCCTGGTCTGATTCATGTGTTCATTAACTGTAGATCTAAGATGGGCACATCAAGAGAGGGTTTAGACACCTTTTTTTCAGCATTTCCCATAGGCCTAATATGCTGACAGCTGTTAAACATAACCTAATTCCTAAACTAGTCCATTGACTTTATAAGAAATGTGGGCAGTAAATTAGCATGAAAAATTCCATTCCTTAAGCTGGACATATAAGATGTAGCTTTTGCAGTGCTCAGCCTTTCAACAGCTAAATCCCTTTGCTGACTGCCTGCTTATGGCAGATGTGTCCCAGTTTAAGTGGCTAATTTCACAGATCTTCTTTGAAGACAAAAGCAAATGAGAATTTTCTTTTTTTCACCAAGACTGTTTGAAAGTTAGGACAAATAGATTTATTACATTATACCTTAAGTCTCAAACTGAACCCTAGACTTAAATCCCTAAGACTTGACTACCCCATTTGGATAGAAAAATTAGACAGACTGGCACACCTGAGAGAGTGCCACTGTTGTAAGCTCACATCATATTTTAGGAACCCTTAACAATAATTTGCTCTATATTTTAACAAGGTCACTGGAAGGGGCTATTCCACTAATAGACTGATGGTTAAAGCATTAACCACAAAGTGTGAGATAAAAAAAAATAATCTTTCTGAGCCCAAGAGTTTATTCAGTCCTAGGACAGTGACCTAACTATGGTGATTAGGTGAAGAAACTCTTCCAAGTTTCCTCTTCAGAAGTAATTGTCCCTATGTGTCCCCAGGAATGATAAGTAAAATCCTATAATGTAACTGTAAAGGATGACCCTCACACAAGCAGCCAGATTATGGTTAGCCACTGAGTGACTGCTTTCTAAATTAGTGAAACCTTATCTGACCATTACCTGAACTTTATTTTTTAGCCAGTGTCAGAAGAGTTTCAGAATGGAGAAGGATTTGGATATATTGTAGCCTTCAGACCCAATGGAACTCGTGGCTGGAAGGAAAAAATGGTCACATCTTCAGATGCCTCAAAGTTCATCTACAGAGATGAAAGTGTGCCACCTCTGACTCCTTTTGAGGTGAAAGTTGGTGTTTACAACAACAAAGGAGATGGTCCCTTCAGCCCTATTGTGGTCATCTGCTCAGCTGAAGGAGGTCGGTTCAACATTAAGTTGACTTGTATATTATGAACTATGTTAAGCTATTTTTATATATTATGTCCTATTACACCATGCTTTTTCAATCTTAACTTTCAAAATTCTTTGCAGAAGTGTTAAGTAACACTAAGCATGTTTTGCAGAGGAGGTGAACTAACTTGCCAAGGTTACCCAGAAAGCAAGTGACAAAGTTTAGGAATAAACTTCAAACTATATCTGTCCTAACCAAACAAATCTCTTTTAATGAAGGTTCATCCTTAATATGAAATCCGTAGTCTTAACTTTAAGCTGGATTGCTCCAACAATGAGCAAAGAAAGGCTGATGTTTTCTAATGATTCTGAGGTTCCTGATATTTTTTTTTTATGAGCTAATCAGACAACAGTTCAAAGACTAAATAACTCCACTTATGAATGTTCATTTCTTGGTTTATGGATACTAAAAGTGCACAGAATGCAATTTTGTTCTTATTTTTAATTTTTCTATTATTTTCTCTCTTTTTTAGTTAATTATTAGAAATTTTCTGAATTTATGTTAATGTCCAAACATTCAATGTGAATTATATGAATAGTTCAACAGATCAAATGAAAACTATTATGTCAACTTGATGTAACTCTCAACAGCATTTTGTGAAAGACTAATTTGTACTTGTAAAAGAAGTTGTTCTGTATTGACAACAGCCAGTGTGTAGAAATTTCCATACACACAAAAGGTAAGTAAATGTTACCCACGGGAATATTTTGAGCAGCTCCATTACTGCAAGTCATATTCTTCAGTTCTTCTTTACCATAGTATCTTTGAGTTATCCTACTGTGTCTTGTTAAGAGAATAATATAAGTATAGTCCTAGTACAGATGGTACTAGTACAGAATTTCATACTATCTCTACAAAAATGTAGTGTGAAGATAATGGTATTTCATGTGAAGCTGAAAAATATAGAATGTTATTCCATATTAGCCCACAATAAATGTGTAATTTTGGAGCCATGATATAGCAGAGATTATCTACTACTGTTCTCTCACAGTAGTTACAGGAGTTGGAGTTGCTGTTTTTGCTAAAAGCAGTTCCAGTAATTTGTTTGTGTTCCACTGTTTGGATCAGCATTACAACGTATTCATATTATTATAAAAACAATTACATCTTAAAATGTAAATTTGCCCAGTACAACTTGGACATTTTCGCAGTTGAATTCCCTGTTCCTCAACGGAAAATGATACTGTGAGACTGATGGTGATGTTTTTATTATTTAACAATTTCATACTCTAATCACAAAGTTCAATTAAAATAGAGTTTTGTAAGGGAATGGAGGCAAAATCTGAATGGATTTTTTTATGAAATAGCAAAAGCTATTTTAGCAAAAACTGAATGCTGAATTGTTACAAGTAAGTAGTCCTTTGCTTGTTATTTGTACAAGACTGGAAACGGAATAAACTGTAATATATAAAGAAATTTTCTAACATTTCCTTTAAATTATGAAATTTACAGATGGTCTGAATAAAATTATTAAAATCAACTTCCTCTCTATGCTCCCAGACACTATATCTAGAAACCAACTTTTTTGATTATAATTCAGTTACATGAAAGTACTTACCCATCACAGCTTTGTTAATTCAGTCTCTGTACGTGTCTGTACAATAGACTTTCCTTTGGTAAGAGAAATTCTATGGGGCTAAATACTTTATAAGACTTATACTTGCAGAAAAAACATGAGAAGTTGTGACAATATAATGCAAAATTAATCTATAAAAAACTTTTCTCCAGAATAACCCTGAGTGATACGCTGAAAATTTAAAGGAACAACGAAACAGTTTATAACAGATAAGTTCTGGGCAATATGGAGACTGAAGACAATAGACATTTCAGCTTGCTATGAAAAAAGGGGGAATTGGTTTCGAAAGAGGCATGGACTACACTTCAGGAGCTAAACAACTGAAGGCACATTTTCCCAAGGATTTGTATTGAAGAGGAGATCTTGAATAAAGATTGACAATACAATACATTATGGTCCTATGGCTGATCCAGTAAACCCTTAACTTACTTGCTTTCATCACACACTCAATTCACTGCTCTGCAAACATCTAGAATAAGGGTCTAGAATAAAATTATTAAAAGTTAAGAAAACTTCATGTTACATATTAAAAGCTTTCCCACATATACAGATGGATCTACAATTGTTTACTGGCATAACAAATTAGTGTAAGGAAGTCTAAATCCTGTTGCTTCTACTAAGTACACAGGAGAAAAACAAGAGTTTGCATAAGACAGGTTCTGGACAAAGAAGAAATTTATTAAGAATGAGTACATCTCTCTTCTGTATGACTGTGACTGCATATTGCAAACTCTCTGATCTACATTCAGAGGCCATTTGGCTCTGAATGTAGACCTGAATGTAAAGGCTCTGAGTGGCAAACAGCTTGGCAGGTGGTATTGAGTAAGGTGTTCCCCTCTGTGAACACAACTGACTGTGCTCTGATTATGTGAAGTGTCTGACTGAGGCAAAAACCTTAAAAAATTACCTTCCAGTGAGTAAAGAATCTAAGAAAACATGAGCAAAACACTGAATGCTTTTTCATAACTAAATATTTATTTCTACCTCTAAGTCAGATATTCAGAAAATAATATGATACCAATGGCTACTGAGGGATCCATGGTGGTGATAATCCGAAGTTGAAGGGGACAAAAAACCTGACTGGTTATAGATGTTTTAAGACTTTCCTTCTCCTTCATTGGCCTTTTGGCTTCATAGGAAACATTGCCAGGATATAGCTCATGGGAGAAACGATCTAGGAGCTAAAGAAGCAGATGAATGTAACGGAGGAATACAGAATAGAAAGGAGAAGCAGATAAAAAGGTTGTACAAAACTAGCTGGATAACCCAGGAGGGAAAAAAGCAAATGTGACTCTCTAGAAAAAATGGCTTAATGCAGTAGAAGAGTTTGAAGGAGGAGTCTTTCCTGGAGACCTTAGGAAAGGAAAAAAGCAAACAATGAAGGAGAGAAGAAGAAAGGTCAGATGATTTAGTGAAGTAAAAGAGACGATGAGAGCCAGGGACCAGTCCTGAAGAGGGAATGAGGATGATACACAGGACAGAAAAAAAAGTTGCACAATTACCTTCATAAGAAGGCAGAACGGAAGGACAAAATAGACCTGTTCCAGTACCAGGGAAAGGCGAGCCTGGAACTTTCATAGAGGAACCCTTTAATAAGAGAAAGAGACGCCAGAGCACGTGCAAGCACAGAAAGTCAGGCTGCCTGCCGTAAGAAAGGTTGCAACGTGCAGACCTGGGGCTGTAAAGGAGCGTGAACAGAGCAGGGAGAAATCTTCTGACTGTGTTTTCTGCCAGGAAACTAATGGTACCAGATTCATGCTAGAACGTACTGAAACAAAGCACTGAACTTCAGTGCAGGCACAGATGGTTTTGATCCATAGAGAATAAAAATTAAAAGACACAAGATACTGAAAATAAAACAATGAGCAAAAGCAGTATTAAGCATGGTTTGTTATAACATTTATATATTTTTTTGGAGATGAGTCTTGATGACTAGATTCCACTTAAACACTGAGGGGCTAAGAATGCTAAGATCACTACTTTCAGTATCAGGGAAATCCTATGCAATCTCTATGTGTCATTTTAATTCTCTGGAAGAGGAAAACTGGGAAAATCAGAAATGTAGCAATGGAGAAAGAAATATGAGAGTGTAAACATATGATTGCAAGATGGCAAAGGCTGTACCGGTAAGAATGATGGCCAGATAGGCTTGCTTTAGCAGGCACGACTAGACAAAGTATGAGCTACGTAAGAAAGACAAAATAAAAGTAAAAATGTTTGGATGACATAACATGATGATGTGATAACTATCAGGAAATACAAAACCAGTGTTTGGATAAAACAGAATATCCTTGGGTTCCATGTCATTTCGGAGAAGGAGAATTAAAGAAACTGGGAGTCGAGCTAGAGGTCAGCTGCTGATGGCCCTGATAAATCTGGATGCTGAGAAAGACCTTTCTAATTTTAGATAAATATTACAGGGCACATTATGACAGTGTAGCTGTTCAGAGTGTTTGGATAGTAAATATGACTAATGACCGTGTTCTGGCTATGATAATTAGCAGATTCTTTATCCAGTACTGACTAACTGAGAAGAAATGATGGAACTATAGTCTTGTTTTAATGAATAATTAAGACACTATAGAAAAGCTGATCATAACAAATAACAGTGGAACAAGTCATCATTAAATAACATGAAATTATTGAATAAACTGGAATTAACAGCTAATTTCTAGTCTCAATGACTAGAAATTAAAGTGTTTTGGAATGTCTGTGAGACAAAGGTGTAAAATCTACCTGGAGTTTATACTGCAAGAAGCGGTGCATTTCTAAGGCACTACCTTACATCTAAGGATCTAGAGACGTGCCCACTAAAAGATATTCAGAATAAGTAAAAAACATATGTGATAAAATCCAAATAATGAAAAGGAGAAGAATAACACAAGTATTGCCAAATATTAAGGTGAAAAAAAGCTTTTAAAAATTTAGGGAATTAAAGAAAGCAGGGAAAAATGTGAAATAAAGTTTTAAATAAATAAATTTGTAAAATAAAGTATTGATATTAAAGATAATCAAGGAATGGACCAAAAATAATGAATTACTTTAACATTTATTTTTAATAAAAAAGGTGATATAGTCAGCATAGCTAATAATGTGAAAGTCTGACAATTTTTACATCTAACGTGAAGACTTCTGGTATTGTCCAGTGCTCAGAAATTCAACCCTCTCCAATTTAAGCAATGCATAACTTGCTGCTCAAAGGTACTATAAATGAAATTTAATCACTTTTTCTATTCATGACTGCCATGGATGATGGGAGCTAGTCCCCTTTATATGCTCAAGGATCTGGGGCGAGATCTTTTCTATCCCAAAATGATGAAAACAAAGAACAGCTAGCAAAAAATTAATTTTGTTAATCTATCAAGAAAAAAATAAAAATATTTCTATATAA